AAAAAAAAAAAAAAAAACGTTTCTGTTTACTTCCTAACTATTGTTTAGTTTGTGTTAGTCTATCAAATATTACCCGATTAATCTGGATACTTTTAAGTGTAAGGTGACAAAATAGTTAAAGATAAAGGGTATATTTAGTTACTTTATGGAAATAGATGCATTTAGTATGGAAATAGATGCATTTAGTATGGAAATAATGTCAGAGTAATGCTTATATTGCAATATTATGAACCAAAAAAAATTGTTTTTGGGGTTTCTTCTATGCAGTTTCGACAACTCACCTGTAATCTGGATTCCAAAGCTCGAAGAGTGAGGAGTGAGCTTTCCTGAGGAGGCAAGCTTGTCTTCATGCCTTCAAAGCCTTGACCACACTAAGAAAAAAAGATTTTTATTTAACTTAGAATTATCTACCAGTCATCTTTGTTAATGCAAAGTTAACTAAGGTGGCCTTACAGAGTAAGAAATACCACAAAGGTCAGTCAGAAGGAAATTTTCCAGTGGCTCCTTTGCTAAGCTTTGGTTCTTGAAAAGCAGAAGCATCTGCTCAGTTCCGCACCTGAAGAAATCATCCACATGGACGGAGCCGACATCTGACCAACAGGAGGCTATCTGGAGAAAATTTGTGGTACAAAATGGGTTTAAAGATAATCCAGATAGTATAACTGCATCTCTAAACAATATTAACACCCCTTAAAGATGTTCAGTTTTTACCATTTTAAACCCACAAACTTTTAGGAAGGTAATCAGGATGTATGCAATAGACAAACACAATGGGGGATTAAATGTAAAGAGCGAGGATAATTATACATAATCCTCTGTCTTTACTTATATATTCTGGAAAATCTAGATCTATTTTATAGATACCACCACATTGAACCTGTAGGAGGGGTGTGCATCATTTTACAAAACACAGTAAACTCCAGTTTATAGCCTACCTACCTGGAATGTGTCCTTCCACACAGAACAAACATGGCCCTGCTTAAAGAATACAACAAAAAGACAGCCATTTCTCCCTGTGTTAACAATCTGAATGTCTTCAGCCTGCTCAAAGGGCAGTTCACACGTTTCTTTAACTAAACCATTTTCAAAAAGCACAAGCTGCTGATGTGAAGTTGCTGCAATAACAACACATCTCAGCACATCATCCACCCTATCAGCTGTTAGAACCTGCATGCACTGTGTGATACAAATGTAGGGATGGGGCAAAATCGAAGAGCCCTCAAACACTTGTCCCTTTTCAAGAAAATAACCAAGTGTAGGGTATTGGTTAGTTAGGGGTGCTTCTGAAAGTCCAAGAGCAAAAATCTGTCCTTTGTGGATGTGGATCTCTCCAAAAACACATTTTGACATTTGAATGGGGATCATTCTGACCCCCTTTGCATTGGGGGATGTATAAAACACGCTTTGATCGTGGCTCCACAGCACTGTGGGGCCCTGCAGGATGCGCACGTTTCCCTGCATTTGATAGGGAAGCTTGAACTCGATGCAGGGCTCCAGTCTGTCTAAACCGTTAAGTGAGAGCAGACTATACTGGAAGCTGCCCCCTTTTTCACTCTTCTTTGTCACCAAAACGAACGGAGTTTTAACCCTTCTCTGAACATCTACAGCACAGTTACACGTCACGATGTCCACATGAGCTGACAGTTTCCTGCTGATGGCTGCTGTCCCCTCTGTTGCCTTCAGGAACGCGTTGACTTCACGTGCAAAGGAGAAGCTGCGGAAGTTTAGCCAGTTTCTTTCGCTTCCATTGCAGGCTGGGTCTTGGTTGCAGGTAAATAGGATTATCTTTCCGCTGTGTGAGAGTCTGTGAGGATTTTGATACAAATCTTCCGGGGAAAACGGCTCCATTATTAGACGCTTCTTGTCAGGTTTGTCGCGTTTAGGGGGTTGAGCTTATTACTTACATGACTTAGTGACTCCAAATAAAGATAGAAATATACGCCTAATATATCTCTATTACCAATACAAAGACGCACATTTAACTTTTCGAGTCGTCTAGGGCTTGATATTCAACATTGACCTGTCAGCAATCAAACTATCGCGCCACACTTACGCTGAAGTTGGCCTTCGTATTGTAGGGTGAAACGTTTACTTTTGGTAAAGGAATATTACACATTTTCTTTCATTCTTAGATGATGAGTTTAGCATATCAAAAAAAAAAAAAGATTAATGTGGATAGTTGATAGTTTTATTTTCACCGTTTCTGGCTTCTGCTACTCCTCCAGATTTGTGCAATTTAATAAATAATACATTTTAAGACGTGCAACTTAAGTTCCATGTTAATTGTTTGTTTGTTTTTAGATGTAGGATTCTTTTAAAGCTAGTTAATATGATTTTTTTCAAATAATTTTACGATTGCATAAGTCTTAGCATTACAGTTTGTAACCTAAAGTTATTATTCGTCATATAGTCGAGATCCCAAGCTATGTGATGTTTTTTTTTTTATTTATTTAATGTTCATTCGAAAGCGAGCTTCGGCGTCACCCCGCTCACTTGAACTAAACTCTCCCAGTCGACCCAATTGCATTGTGGGTAATTTTTTTCTAAACAACAGCAAAATATAACATTATTTTTTTACTATATCGTAGAATATACAGCTATATTTTATCATTCAATGGGAGCACTGGTTGTTTGGACAAGAAAAAAAAAACATTATCTACTCTTGTTCTCTTTTCATCACAGATAAACAAAACTGCCCCGGCTGGGAGGTGTGGCCACGAGCGGAGCCAACATGGCGGCGTCAGGATTCCGGTTTCTTACTTTTAGCTGTGATTCATTAGTGCAGCTAGTTTGCTAACTTAGCTGCCAGGGGGGAAAAAAAGAAAACACAATAACAACGCGGAACTACGACAGAGCCGGGTGGACGGTTGAATATGGCAGATCATGATCCGCAGCAGGGAGAGCAGGTACTTAATGACCGTTAGAAATGTTTACTTTGCTGAAATCCAACCCGAATCTAAACCGAAGCAACTCTGTTTTTACAGGATCTTGAGAAGAAAATCGAGGAGACCAGGCAAAGATTCAATAGCGAGTTACTTCAAGGTAACACGAAATATACATGTTTTTGATCAACTGAAATGTATTTACTTCGTGGATATTAATTTGCTTTTATACGGTTTTTTCTCTTTTTACATTCGTAACTGTTTGCATATATTCAAAGATTCATTTCCTTTGGCAACAAGTTCTAATAGCTCAGTTATGCTTCAACAAGTGCTCCACTTAGCATTTAAATACGAGCCTAGATGGCTCATATTTTAGCTTTCTGTTGGGTCATTGATCCACCCATAGACAGTTTAGAGTTTTTAAAGCCACGTTTATTTGAAAATGAAACCTGCTCCTACAGACCTGTCTGAATGTCATGTGATTCCGTTTTTTTTGTGTGTTCTGTTTGCAGACTCAACAGATAAGTATGACTCCAGGGACGTGGAGAGGCTTGAGCAGGACGATGCTTTGGTGGAAGCCTACCTCACATGGAGGCAGTATGTGGTTGATGATGCCTTAAAGATGATAGATGATAGTCTGCTCTGGAGAAAAGAGTTAGGTGTAAATGGTAAGACTTTGGGGTTCTTAGAACTGTTTACATTTTAAAAAGAGTGAAATGTTAAAATAATATGACCCTTTTTTGTGTGTGTGTGTGTGTATATAGGTAGGGATTTAAATTCCTACTCTGTTGTAAAAGCTAAAAATTAATGGTAATTCATGTCCCTCAATTTACGGCTAAGTCTAAAAAAAACCCGGGGCCATAAACGAATAAAACTCCAAATGTGACTTGATATAAAAATCATTCATTGCTTCCAGTGGATCAGTTCACTCAATACAATTTTCTTAAAATGCCCACATCTTATGTGTCATATGTTTGGTCCGTATATTGTTTAAACATTTTTCAACCCTATTTAAACTGTTCTGATCCCTGTTTTGGACAGCGCATTCGGATCAACATTTTTAGCCTTATCAGGCTTCTCGGCCCATTTTAGTTTTCTTCGAGATTTCAGCTGGTTCCATTTTTTTTATTTTTTTTTTAACAAGTAGATTAAACCTTGTTTTACTGATTTCACATTTTCATGATTTAGCTGAACAGATTGAATTGGAAACGTGCTGTAAAAAAATATTTTCCTACAATCTGTTTGTTACTAGAGTACATTATGCAACAAAGCAATAATATATTCAGATTGTTTTATATATTTCAAGTGAAGTTAATTACTTAGTTATAAAGGTTTGAAGAAAAAATCCTTTGCAAAGTTTGGATGAACACCAGACTTTGCTCATGCTGGAAAAATACCAGAACAAAAATCCGATCTCTGGATTTATAACAAGTTAGTTACACCACATTGCCTAAGATAAACTGTTGGAACATGACATCAGGATAAAAAAGCAATTATCAGTAGTAATCATGTATGTTGTCTTTTTGGTTTCAACAGAGATTCAGCTTTTAGGGGAAATCACAGACGGTTGTAATTGAGTCTGCATTGGATTCAATATTTGCTCAATATGACTTTTTTTTTTGCTTAATAACATATTTTTTTAAGGATAATGACAACCCTTTTTATATGAAAAAAAAACTTGACTTAAATCTGCAAATAATTAATATTAAATTACAGATCTGACATTGATAGTTCTCCAAGAAATCCTCAGCAGAAACATTTTTATGGGCCAAGATTGTTTGCACCAAAAATAACTTCAGCTTCAGTTTCATGTCTTCAAAGTTTACAGACTTTAATAAATATAAATATAAAAACTTTTCAGTAAATAAAGCATACATATATTGGTGTTCACATGTTTATATACAGCCAGTTGATCTTTCTTTTTGTTTTGTACAGAAGTATTGGGGGGGGGGAGCCAGGTTGTGGTGGGAGAAATCATGCTAGTCCCACTAAATACTAAAGTTCAATATCCAGCTTTACTAGAACTGTTGACATTGGCATATGTGTTTCAAGCTCCAAACACAAATCTGTGGTTGCCCTTGTGCTTATCTGAGGAAAACAGAGGGTCTTTGTGTGTTAAACAGCCATATCTCCATGCGTAAGTTACCACAGGGAACAATAGTCTCTGTTTCTCCTGATGATTTGAAAGACTTGTTATTTGCTGGCCTTTTAATCCAGTAAATTCTATTTTTCTTTGGCTTGTTTTAGGAAATGTGATTTATATGAGTCATTAGTGCCTCGGGCGAGGGGGAACCTGCAAAAAAAAACAAACTTGTGTGCTTTAAAATATAGACTTTTAAAAACCATAAAGCAGGTTAACATGATCCAGATTACCTTCAATGTTTGCATGTCGTGTTATCTGAAGCTTTATCTCTTAATTTCATTAACGTATGTAATTTGTTTGTTGTTGACTGTAGATATTACTGAGAGCACCATTCCCAGGTGGATGTTTGAGTCCGGTGCCGTCTACCTCCATGGCTACGACAAAGAAGGCAACAAGCTCTGTATGCACCCCTCCTCATTTAGCTCCACCCACACCCACACTGACATTTAATGGGAGACTCTTAAAGTATGGGATGATTAAATATATTCACTGTGATTTTTGTGTAAAAGTACCTCAGTAACTTTGTGAAGTTTAATAAAAAGCATTAAAATATCAAATTAATGGGTTTTTATAAACAGCAATTACTCATATTGTTGGTAAAACAATTTAAAACTATTTAAGCTATTATAACCATGTTATATCTCAGTTTTAACAATTGTTACTTTCATATGTAGAATTCGGCAGAAACGTGGAGCACGTGTTGTGGTAGTTTTCAAGTAAACATTCATAATGCAAGAAATTGTTGCTTAGTGCTCCTATAGAGTATAATAGTTCTGCCTCATTATGACTGATTCAATTCAAATTCATAAATACTTTATTAATCGCAAATGGAAAATATATATATATATATTTTTTTCTTTTTTTGAGTTCGTACGGCACTAGTGGCTAATTTTTTGGACAGTAGGCTAACAGGAATGGGGGTATTAGAGAGGGCAAAGAGATACGGCAAAGGACCACAGGCCGGATTCGAACCCAGGTCGGCCGTATCGAAGACTAAGGCCTCCGTTCATGGGTTGTGCACATCAACCACTGCGCCACCTGCATGCCCATCCCAAAAGGAAATGAAATATTACAGTTACTCATACGTAGTTTCTGTAAATGTGTTTTAGTTTGATGGCTGCTGCTTCATTTTCTACACCATGATTGTAGAAATTTTACTTTGGCTTAACCGTCTTTCCTTCTTGTAAGCAAGAAAAATTATTCTGCAGGCTTTTCTGTTTTTTGCTTCTGCCAGCAACAGGTTGGGGAGGGGCAACTTTGCTTTGCTCTATGTGTCATACAGTCAAGGAGAACTTTGTACCTACTTTATCCCACTAAAACTTATTGAAGTCACTGAAGAATATTAGCGTTTTGAAACAGCCTCTTTTTAAAAGCTTTAGTTACCGGTACACGGATGCTAGCTAACACATGTCTGGTATACGTGTAGCCCAGCCGTTTCATTTCCATTAAAGAAATAGGTGGACGTTTCTAAGTTATTTTGTGAAGTAAAGCAGAATCTGTTCTTTTCTTTTAAAGTCTGGTTTAAGGTGAAGCTGCATTTTAAAGATGCAAAGACGGCTGTGGACAAGAAGAAGTACATCGCCTTCTGGTTAGAGCGCTATGCGAAGAAGGAACCGGGGATGCCTCTCACTGTCGTGTTCGACATGACAGACTCTGGCATTGGCAATATTGTAAGTCCATTTTCTTTGTACTTCATAAGACTTAGACTGCTTTTATTGTCATTTTGTATGCATAGAGTGTATAAAAACAACATTTCTTTAGTACAGCTTTTCAGACAGTAAATGAATATTGCCATTCCTTAAAGGGCAGCAGTGATCAAATATAAACAGTTTGGGAGAAAAAACATGGTGCAAAAAAAACCCCAGAAAAATACGCATTGATATGGAACTTTATTATGATAAGAGGGAGTGCCTGCAATCATATCCTCATTCATCCTGGTGTTTAAGACAAGACCCTCCAGGAGGTCCAGCTCTTCAGTGGTTCTCTTTGGACATTTAATCCTTTCACTCACTTTTTCATTAATGTTTTCCTCTTGAGGAAGCTCTCAGTCAGTGATGCTCTGCCAGTGAAAGGCCTGTTAAATTTGCAATTAATCGACAAGTAAATGCAGAAAGAATGAACATCTGTAGAACCCAAATATGAAACGCCTTGTTTTGATGATCCTTTTGGAAAGACATCGTTGGAGGGCTTAGCAGCAGTGAGTCCGGTGGGAAAGAGTGAGGATTCTAACCATTTATGCAGCTCTGCCACGGCCCACAGATCCTATCTGTCAGCCTGTGTAATCAGGCCAGTTAAAATAACCAGTAGAACAAAACCCCTTCCCCTCCACCCTTATGATTCATCAAGCCTTTCAACTATTCAGAGTCGGTAAAACTTTATAAAGATGGAAATACAATCTTCTCAAAACATAATATATTTAGATAAACTGCACTTTTTTTTAATAGTGTTTGAAATGAACTGAGTTGGGAAGATTTCAAACAAGCTAGCAGTGAATTTGGCTAGTTTCAGATCGAGAGGCGATTAAAGGAGAGCAAACATTTCACCTTTTTTTTTTAATTGTCATTACACTGTCACAAGTATAAATCAACGAAATTCACTCTCTGCATTTAACCCATCCCCTTGGGGATTCCAAGCGCAATGCCCTAACCACCAGGCCACACTCCCCAAACATTCTGCTTTTCACATTTTATACTTGAAGTCTTTCAAGGTTGTTTCATTTATGAATCTTTTTTTGTTTGTTTTAGGACATGGACTTTGTAAAGTATGTCATTAATTGCTTCAAAGTGTACTATCCAAAGTTTTTATGTAAGTAACATCACCCTTAAAGATAAATTGCAGCTATGTGTCATAGATGCTGTATTTCAGTCATTACTAGTGATCTTACAGATGCTTATGTGTCAAATGTGCTATCAGAAAGCCATATTCTCACCGAGGAACATTTTCTTATTTCAGCCAAAATGATCATTGTGGATATGCCTTGGATCATGAACGGTGAGGATGAGTCGGCCTGACTGAGATAGATAATAGCGGTTCTGTGACTTTAAAAATACAAGCTTACATCTTGTCTCCTTGTTGCAGCTGCGTGGAAAATTGTGAAGTCCTGGTTGGGTCCCGAAGCCATCGCTAAGCTCAAGTTTGCTTCCAAAGCTGAGGTCCAGACGTTTATAGGTCCAGAGTACCTTCCGTCTCACCTGGGTGGAACGGTATGCTCTAATCTTTTTCCTGATAGATTTCTTTTAGAAAATAGATGTTAGAATTGACTATTTGAAAGAAATCAAATCTTACAGTTTTTCTTGCCTGCTTGTTTGGTCAGTTTAGCTGGAACTGTATGCTGACTGAAAGATGCTCAGCTATCTGCTAAAAGCTTCTGGTCTTGATTTATGTCCTAACTTGGCTTTATATTTCCTTTCAAATTTTTTTTTCTACATCCCCCGCTTGATGATGCCCAGGATCCCTTCAAGTACACCTACCCCCCTCTGCCAGACGATGACTTCCAAACACCGCTCTGTGAGAATGGACCGATTGTCAGCGAGGACGACGTGGAAAGCAAGGAGGGTGAGATGGAGAGCAGAGAAACCCTGGAGTCCAGCTTCAACTCTGAGATTGTGGCAAAGCCCAAAAAGGTAAACTGTTAAATAAAATAAAAAAAAAATCTAGCTTTTTATATTTTCTGTTTTTAAACTTCAGAAATACTTCAGCTCAGTTGCAGCATGTGTTCTCTAAGTAGTCTGCCTTTGACCTCATTTCAACTGTTTAGGGTTGTTATGATTCTCTCATGCAGTTGAGAAATAAAGTCTTTTTATTTTTTAACTTTTGTACATTTGGCAGCTCCTGGTTTTCTGTTGACATTGTTTCATGTAAGGCGTTACTGACCAGGTTAGATTTATGCATTTAAAACTCTATGAGTCCTGTTCTGTTTAGTTCAAACCTTCAGATTACAGAGTGAAATCAGGCCAGTTATGCGATTTCCATTAAGCTGTTTTTCATGGTGTCTGTTAAATATGTCCTTTAGGGTTTTTTTGGCTTTCATTATATCCAGCTAAGCCCTCACAGTCCCTCCGCTGCTCCTCTGTTCCTTATGGTGTCCACAAAGTATTCCTAAGCTCTTCCCTGCCGTCACTAGATTCCTTCTGCCTGCAGCGTACAGCACTCAGTGAGAATCCCTGCACTGTGGATATGTTGAAGCTGCTGTCGACTTCCTCTCTAGGGTTTCTCAGTGCTGCACCCTGCATGCTGACAGCCCTTCAGCTCATGTCATGTATGTCACCAATTCTTCTAACTCCCCATCAGGATTAACCGGCTCTCCTACCGGGATATTTTTAAGCTTTCTTTTTAGCTTTTGGTCAAGAAGAAGCTTTGTGAACGCCCACCGCAAAGTCATATGAAGGCTCCTGTTGGACACATTCATAGGGTTTCTATTGAGCTGTAAAAGTTTAGAATCAGATTTAATGATTTTCCAGGTTAGGATTAGTATGGAATAAGTTAAACAGAGTATGGATCATTTTTTTTTATTTCCAGAATTTTTCCCTTCATCTCAATGCATTCGTCTGAAACAACATCACTCATCAACCTGTTGGCCCATTCGTTCATCTATTTTCTGCATCTGTCCATCAGTTACTTCTGTCGACCTGCCCGTCTGTCCTTCCATTTTTCCGATCATCTTGGCATCCATTTCTCTATCTATTGGTCACTTCATCCATCCTTTTCTACATCTGTTTATCAATGTGTTTGTTTCTCCATCTGTCCATCTCTCTTTTTCTTTTTTTTTTCTTTTTTTTTTTTGCAGCCTGAGCACAACAGAAATATCTCCCATACTTTGAATACAAAAAAAAACCTATAGAATATCATCAAACTCTTAATTTTCTATGCTTATTTTTTATTTTTTTTTATTTTGTTGCCATTTTCAGCTTCATAGAGGATTCATATTACAAATGGAGCATCAGGCTTAAGGCTGACTCACATATGACAAGGGGAAAAACCGTAGGTTTGCCTGCAGTATACATGAGGAAAACCACATTGAGCGTAGCTACCCCGACAAAGCTCCTGAGGTCCACTCAACAAACAACGCTCCTGTTGGGAAAAATCTGATTATTCACAAGAGATTTAGACCTTTAGATAGATCTACAGCAGTTATTTATCAGCCTATTTGCAATCAGACTGAGGTTTAAGATTATTTGTAGCCTTCCTGGAAAATAAGAATTCTGACAATCTTAAGAGTTGGGTTGCATATTGTATTTTATTTTTATATTTTATGTCATTTTTTGGTGACTTATGGCCTTTTTAAAATGTGCTTTTTGTTTGGGTTGTATTAGACTTTTGTTACAGAACAAAAGGCAGCTTCTTCTATAGGTTATTCAATACAGGCTCTACATCAACATCAAGCTGTTCACCATCAGTTTTTTGGTTTTTTTTTATTGTTAATTTGAAAAAAAATTACTTCAATAAGAAGATTTCTAATAGAAGGAGATTGTTCAGTTAATGTCCAATATTTCATAAGTTGACTAATCCAAACGCTGACCACAACCATTAAAATGGGATTGAAATCTAAAAAAAGGCACAGAACTTAAACTACCTTGCAGATTTTAGGGTTGTTGTTTTTTTTTTGTTTTTTTTTTTATATCTGTTTCCACAATTAATCAGAACACCTAACTACCAAACCAGGATATGGACTACATGGAAATTAAAAAAGGGGTACAAACTGTCAAGAGGACATGTAGATTGATCTGTTTTAAAGTTTTTCTTTCAGGATTGTTTTTTCATCCTACTATTTAAGTCAGCCGACTCAGGAAGAGGAAGGTGTTTTTCATTCTAGCTTGTCAAAATATCATTGCACAACCGCTGTGAGGTAACTCCTCACAAAGAGAAGGTTGGCTGGGTACACGTCTAAGGAAAGTCTATAAATAAGCTTGCTCGCACTTAGATGGTCTTTAATAAACATTTCATGAATACTCAGGGTGAAGTGTAGTCGAGCAGCCTCCCTGACAGCTCAAGCCTTTGACTCTGGCAGTCTCGGTAACTTTTATCACCCAATTATTGCCGCACACAAAAAACAAAAAGCTTTCCTAACTCTTCTCTTAGACATAGCCTCTGTCTCTGCTGTAGCTTTATCTAGTCTGTCCTAGGAAACCCATAGAGGCTTGGACCATCAGGAGGTTTATTATTGTATCACTTAGGGTTAATAAAAACATGATATCCTAGCATTTCCTCATAATCTACCGTAAGCATAAATCTTAAACATCTTATCGTTTAGGTTTTAAAAGCAACACTGTTTGGGCCACTGGTGTAGCTTTATATAGTTAATTTGTCCTGATTTTGAGACAAAGACTCAACCAACTAAAATCTTTTTTAGTATCGTACTTTGAGAACCATGTGTTGTGAGTTTGTGTATAGTCTACATATATATATATATATATATATATATATATAAACACTTAACGGAACAGAATAAATAAATATATAATATTTTTATTTTTTTTGTTCTAGTCTTGATTGTGTAATGTTGTAGAATCACGTCCCATTTTGGGTCTCCGCTCTTTAGAGGGTAGTAAAGTTAAACCAGCAAATATTTGCCAGTAAACTAGTTTGGTTATCTGCTCAGGTAGAGTAAATATGCTCCTCATTACTTGTAACTAAAGCTCTAAAACAGCTTTGCCTCAGGTAAGAGTGGATTAGCTCCTTTGGGTTTCAAAATATGGCGGTCTGCATTTTATAGAGGAAATTTTTCCAAATAAGCTAAGAAAAGTGAAGGGGAGAATGGAAGACTTTGTTTAGCCAGCTGATTGGCAATGTACAGCAACAAGCGGGTGAGGGGCAGAGCTATGTTACACTGTTCCTCAGCACTTCCACTGGCATATCCTCAACATATAGGAACAATATTAAGAATTGTTTTTGTCTTTTGTTTTGAGACTTTTTAAAACATTTAAAAGCTTGAAACTGTATTTTAGCCTGTGCTTTAACCCAAATTGTATCTTTTGTTTATGCTCGTTAAATGAATTCATGTTGAAATACAATAATTTAGAGCTTGGAGGACTAATAATAGGAGAGGAAAGTTGAAAGAAGGAAGGGACTGAACATTTAAAGCAGACTAGTTACAGCTTTATTTGTTTTTAGCGTAGTATAGCATAGAGTTATAAACCTTTAATATGGTGTGTTTATATGTATGTGGTGACTTAAAAGTGTGGCTCTGTGTTACAGCAGGCCTTTGGAGCTTTGAGCCTGACTGAGTGTATTCTGATCCATCTTTTTTAAATAAATTAGATCTCTCTCCAACACTCCTCCACCATCCCCCACCTTAACCACCCTCCATCTGTTCCTAAAGTCTTCTGAGGTCCAGGAAGCATTGAGCTGATAGCTTAATGGCTTCTGGAAGCTAATTTTCTGTCTCTCTCTCTTTTTTTTTTTTTTTCTTTTTTTTTCCCCCTTTATGTTATCGGAAACAAGGGGTGGCTGTGGTAAGGCAGTTTAGGATCACAACCACAGCAGAAGCCCAGGGAAGATCTCTGCAGGCTGGAAAGGCAGGTTGTACTCAAAGCTGTGACTCAAATGGTTTGAGTACTCCTTCCTCCAGTGTCGACTGACGTTGCCGCCATCACTCCTACACACCCATCCCATCATCCATCACGGAGCTCAGTTTTCTAATTTGACCTAGAATATTGCTTTTTTTTTTTTTTACCCGCAGCTTTTTATTTGCACGTCGTAGAAATGCTTATGTAAGCGAAGCGAGACACACATTTCACAGTTTAATTAGCTCTTAGAAAAGGGCCAGCACACTCCCTAATGTCCATAAATGTTTCACGTTATTTGTCTCGTCTAACCTCCGATTATTAACCACTGAGATAATTACTGTTCTATTACAGTAGACCAACTTATTAACCCTCAGCACTTAATCTTCAATCAAAGCTGCTTTTTAATATAAGCCTTCAGTGCCTTATCTTTATCCAAGTCTAAGACTTGAAAGTTTTTAATCATGTAGACAATCTAATGTGCCTTAACTTTAATTGCACAAAAGCATGTGCATTTTATATGTCTGATTTTGCATTTCATATTTTACACAATGTGTAGAAATAGTGTCTTAAATCTCTATTATAATGGTCTCTAATTTTTTCATTCAACTATGGTCACTTAATTTGTTTCTCATATTATAATACCCTCTATTTTTATGTGCACTATTAATCTATAATGGATTTTTATTTTATTGTAATATGTGTGGGGAAAAATGGAACTGATGATTGTTCTCATCACTACAATGTACTATTAATTGCAAAATCTGTAATAAAGTGCAATCAGCCTAACACCATTAACTCCATATTTATACATAATTGTGTAATTCTTTCGTTTGACATTTAATAAACAATCCCATTGGAAGATGATTATCTCTTCATGTCTTTTTTTCGGTGCAGTTGCGAAATAAAGTGACGACAATCTTCAGGTTTTTACATATTTAAGCTTATAAACTGGAGTATAAACTTCCCTGTTGAGTCAGCAGTGCTTCTGAGACGTGTTCCCAGACCCGACCGACCCCCGCATCCTTCGCTCCTGTTTGCCTCCTCCTAACGTTCTCCCTCCACTGTACCGCGTCTGTGGTTCAAGCATTCACTTCCTCCAGCTGGTCATGCTTCCATCTTTAAAGGCTTGGCCCACCATGTAACAAGTCTCCATATCCAGTCAGCCTTTTTGTGGTCTGCCTGGGAGGGATTTGGGTCAAAGTGTGTCAGCATTTCGCTGCTCCCTCATGTGAGGAATCTCATGACTTCTGTCTCCATTGACCTAACTTTATTCGTGGGGGGGGGAATTATGTCAAAAGTTATAAGTTGGCTTGATTCACTAGTTCTGTATTTTCATAGATATTTTTTACTTTTTTTTTTGTCTGTTCAGCAGTTGAAGTCCAGAATTTCACAATAAGCTTATTTAATGAAGATTGTATCCTGATTTCAATGACGTTTACCCACTATTTTAATCTAACACTTTATTGATTAAAATTGACTATATTGACTTCTATAAACTGATAGGGACCTCTTGATGGAGGCCAAAGGTTAAACGTTTTATTTAAGAGGGGTTCCAGAGAAGATGTAGATGAATGCTTAGCCATGTTTTGGTATTTTGTTCTTTTTTTTTTTGTTCTTGTGTGTGTTTTCTAACCATGTGGCCTTTTCTGTTTCAGGTGAATTTTCTAGAAGAGAGCTTGAGGTCAGACGATGGTGAAAGAGACACAAACGTGAGGGTGAAAGGAGTCAGGAAGCCACAGACCACTTTCAAAGGTCTTCTGTTAGATGTCAGGTAGGCCCTGCTTTTTCTGTTTTTCTAACTGTTACCATGTAAACCTGATTTCAACTGGTGGTTAAAACAGTGATGCTCAAACATTTCCTGCTGGGCCCCCCTTTTGGTTTATAAGAGATGCCCCTACTACCGCCACCAACCAAGCAACGTTTCACAGTTTAGCAAAGAAAAATAAACCACTGTAGATTTTCATATTGCAGAAAAATAAACAACAATCTTTAAATAAAGTACATCTTTAGAGTGCAATTACTAACTTTTTAAATTGTACAAACCTTGAGGTTCTGAATGTTTTATTATGTTTCTACTGAGTACCGTACAATGATTGGATTTTAAATGATTAAGCCAACACAAAGTAAGTAGTGCGTAATTATGAAGAAAAAAACCATTGCTTTGGAAATGTTTAACAAATAAGCCCGAAAAGCCATGTCTGCATTTGTATTTAACCCTTTAATAAGACGTGGTTGGAGATCCTTCAGACAGATGAGGCCATAATGATAGTGGTGGCATAGTGCTGTCCCTTTGATTGTCCTCAAGAGGATCATAAAGACCTGCTAGAGTTTATTAGGAGATGAGTGAAACTAAGACACCTGAGATAAGGGGGGGGGAATTGTTCCTTTCAGCGGGAAAACCAGCTCAAAACCTACTGTCTGAGGTACAGTTTGTGTTGTAGATCAAAGTATACCCCAGAACACATAGGTTATTTGCAAAAAACGATGATTCTGCAAAGATTTGATCATAAATACAAATCTTCTTCGATTTTAACATATAAAAATAAGAAAAAGAAAAGTAAAATAAAGCATAAATCAGTTTTCCTTCCTTGTGTTAGTTTATCATGAAATTCCAATAAAAAAGTGGCAATATACTAAAGTCCTTCGAAAGCTTTCTGTTTGTTGTCTTTCTTGTTTCAACGTCTTTACAGTGATTGCATACAATCCTGTTTTGATGCCCAGCGGTTGCATTCAGCAGCACCGTATGGGGAGGCCCAAAAAAGCAGAAGAAGAAAAGATTTGTCACACTATTATTTTTCAAATATAAAATGAAAATCCAGCAATGAAACAAATTATATTTGTGTTCTCCATCATTTTTCAGCTGTAAACAGCGAAACAAAGCATGAATATATTAAATATACCATTAAAATATTATGTCATTTTGTATTATACCATTTTATACTATTAAACGACATCTATAAATCTTGATCATTCTCATGAGCAGCCTGAAGCAGCCACACAAAAAATATGTCATTAAATGTATACATGAATGAAAAATGAGTTCTCTGGGCCAGCATAGAAATAACCTGTCCTTTTAATAAAATGATAGCAAAACCTAATGGGAATATATTTTCACAATCCAAAGCCTATTTTCCGTTCATGTGTACATAGATACAGCTGTGTTTTTGTTTTTTTTTTTGTTTTAAATAAGCTGGTATTATTTTAATAGGATGTAAATTTTAAAGTTAATGTATATTTAACTTTTCACACTCTGATCATTTTCCTTTGTAAAAATTTTACAATAAAAATTACATTGTAAATGTAAATGATACCTTTTAGTGCATATAGCAGTATAAAAGCTTGCACACATTTTTTTTTTTTTTTTTGGTGTTAGGGGGGCCCAATATCAATGTCTTTCATGGGGCCCCAAATTCCTTGCAGCATCCCTGGTTATATTCCAACTCTTATCATAAGATCTGGATTTAAGGCTTTTGGTTTTTTAAATCTTTTTAACATGAATGATGTTATGGCTAATCTTTGACATTTAAAAATATTTCTTAATGGATGAACTCCAGCTACATGGAACAAACTGCAGTTGTGCTTCGTCTTTGTTCCACTTTTAAGGTGGCATCTTTAATATGTTAGACTTCATTCTCACATTAATTGGTATTTCTGACTGCTTTGCTTAAAAAAACTTTTTTATATCATAGTTAATCTAATCTTTACCATAGCATGTCCTTTTTAGGCTCTTGTCCTTTCCAGTTTTGCCCTTCCTTTTAACCAATAGTCCTTGAGGAGGACGTGTGAAGTCATGCAGACTGACAAGAAACTGATGGATCAGAAAACATAGCTGTCTGTCACTCTGAATCATCATGCTATGGAGCCACATGGGAATAGAAATATGCTGCTGCTAGTTTTCCAGCAGCATTTGAATCATTTTTTTTAACATGCAGGGATATATAAAATATTCTGTTAAAGTGACAGGCATGAAAAAAAATTGCTCTCTTCCCACAGGTAGTGTGACATGCATCCTTTACAGTTACACTGGAAAGCAGGGTCAGGGCATTTCTTCTAACTTCTGTCATTCACAGTCTAATGTAAGATCACAAAATCATAGCTTAAAACAAATGTCAACAATTTTCCTGAAATCGTCTCCTGTGTGTGAAAGTCCAAGGTCACAGTTTATACCAGCCATAACCTCTGGAGGGTGACCCCAAAACTTCTTATTAGATTATTGTTGGTTTTATAGCTTTACTATTTTGTACACCTAATTCATTGTCTAGCTGCTTTTTTTTTTTTCTAAGTTTGATTGATTGATTTATTTAATGTAGGGCCTGTTGCCCCAAAACTAAAAATAATTCAAATCATCATCTAATCCTGCTGATATTTATTATCATTTTGTGCTTCTTGATTAAAACTCTAGTTTCAGCTCCACATCACTGTACTCCCACCACCATGCTTCCCTGTGGGCTTGGTATTCTTCTGTAATGCGAAATGTACTCGTTTGAATTGTGTCTTTGGAAAAGCTTTTAGTTGATTAGTTTTTTAGGGAATTATATTGCATGGTGGACGTTTTGTTTACAAGAATCAGCTCCTCACACAAAATCCCACATTGTTGTCCAGATTTATATTTAGGATGCAGAAAAATATCACATGTGGAACACAACTAGAATCTTTTAAATCTTTTAAATTGTCTATTTTGCCTATTCCGGGAAATGGTCACACTGTCCCGTGGTTTCTATCCTAAATTTATGGTGTTTCCAGGTAAACAACATTTTACAACATCTAATGTGACAGGCAAAACTGAACTTTATGTTATTTGTAATCAATGTTAGTTTGGCAAAGCTAAAATTAAATTAAAGTCAATTAAGGTATTAGTAGAGGATGTGAACACATACAAACGGGTTATAGCACCGGTGCCTCTTTCTAAAGGTTTTGTTGGATTTTTCATTGTTGTTTCACATTGCAATTATACTGTATTGAATTAGATTAGATTAGATTCAACTTTATTGTCATTACACATGTACAGGTACAAGGCAGCGAAATGCAGTTTAGGTCTAACCAGAAGTACAATAGCAGCAAGTGCAGGATAAATAATGGTTCCATAAATATAGGACATGGGTTTCTACTGAATGAGTATAGAGATGAATACTATTACTATAAATAATGAGTATAATATATAGATCACTAGTGTTATGAACTAAATTTACAGCTGGATATGTACCTGTATATAATACACAGGTGGATATTACTATAAAAAAGGTTTTTACAGTTATGTGCAATAGCATAATATACAGATGGGTTTTACTATAAAATGAATAAATAAAGTTTGGACAGAAGCTATCTAAATTAAAGTGCAGTGGAAGGTAATTGCATATTACAGGTAAAGTACGTTATTGCAAATGTATATGTAAACAATTGGTACTGTGGATGTACAGTCAGCAGTGCAAATATAAGCAGTTGGCAGTGCAAATCAATTGAATGTATTCTACTGAAATGTATCCAAGTCAATTATTCTTAAAATAAGAATATTTTCCTTTCCACTGAAGAGGCAAGGCAGTTTGCCAAAATAATAAGATGATCTATGTCTAAAATAAGTAAACACAGCTCCATTATCTTATTTCTACTGATATGTGATTATGTTATTTAAGGGGCAAACTTTTTCATTCCATTGGTAGATCATCTTATTTACCTGCTTAAATGAAAGGAAAATGCGATTATTTTAAGTTTGCTTATTTTTAAATCGTTATTTTCCAGTGCACTGGAAAAATGTCACATCAAAGATATGAAAGCTTTAGCTAATAATTGTGGATTCTTTTTCAACTCTCCTTGATCTAACAGAGATTGTAAAACTTTCTATGTCCTTCCTACATGTTGCTTAGTGCTTCAGGGTATTGAGGAAATAGAAAAAGCTGATCCCAGCTGCAGCAGCAGCAAGACTTGTTTGGCTGCACTGGATTGCTTCTGCATAACTGTCATTACGTTAGACTGCTGTCGTCACACCAGTTAAATAAGGAAGTCTCACAGAGACGGCTTCTTCTTTTTTTTCTGTCCATTTTGAGTATGACATTATCAAAACTATGCCATCAGTTTCGAGGAAATCGAAAGCTCTTGATATCCGATTGAAGGTGAAAAATGAAAATTAGATAGTTGATGAATATAACGGTAATTACAGCAGGAGGCATGAATCACAGGAAAACTGAACAAATGGGGGAAGGCATTTCTTTGTATAAACAGAATGGCCACATGGCTTTGGCAGGGTTAGTTTAGCCCCTGAGTGAGCCATAAATAGCATCCATGCACCGTCTGGCTGTGATGTAGTCATACGTTTAGAGATCATTTTAAAACATGTCTATTTTTCTATTAACATGCTGAATTAATTCATGCAAGTCTGCCCACATTTTAACAAACTTCATTGAAGTTATTTAAAATTGCAGGTTTTTGAAAAGCCACTATTACAAAATGTCCCCTTTGTGACTTTTAGTTTGTTTCCTTGCATTTGTTTTGGCCTTTGCAGGATTTTTCCTTGCAGGTTCACTGCAGCACAAACCTGACCAAACATATCGGTTTGTTTTTCCGCTAACAACTCTACCAGTTAGGAGTGAGAGCACATATCTGGGTCTTATCAGCGAGCTGTTCTGCAGCTGTAACCAGCATATGTTGCAACGGCAGTGGACTTAGAACTCATTTGTATACATAAAGCCTCAAGCCAAAGGTGCCAGCTTAGTAGTTATTTTATCAGTTTATTTACAAATTTTTCACTTGATCTCATTATATTGAGAGGGAATCACCTGTAGCCAATTATTAATCTGTTTAGAAAAATATGTAAAGGCAATATTTCAGAATTATTTTATTTTTAATATGGTTACATTAAGTAAAATAGCTGTGAATTCAATTTTACCTGCTTACCTGCTCTTTTCACAGTGGAGGAAAGTTTAGTTTTTCTACACATCGACTTGATGCTTCAGGTCATTATCAATGTTTTTTTGCTATTTTGCTCTGATTGATCCAGTGAGACGTTACCGGGGATCAACGTTGTTTTCAGTCAATTTTCCATTGATTTAAAAATGACTTGTTGTTGTAAATCAAACACTAAAGTCAATTCTCCTCACAAACACTAATTAATTAATCTGCACTAAACAGGAACTTCTTCTTGGTTTCCATCACACCATCTAATGCTTTGGACAGTAATTTGCAGAATTAATCTTTCCCTTTGACTTTTGCCATATTTTTCAACTGTACAGTTGAAATTTCGTCACTCTGTACAGCCATGACCTAGTCTGTATTATTGGGATTGTGAATGTGTCCATTTTTTAAAATTTTCCCCCTAAAATAAAAAAAATATATATATATATGCATGAATTTGTGTTCAGCTTCACGTAACTGATCTTTCTAAATAAAAATGCTTTTATAAGTCACCTAATAAGTAGAAAATCTGCAGGTCTGTGGTCGGATTTCAACAAGCACTATTTTTATGCCTCCAAGGTTTGGTAGAAATCATTTATGAACAAACCCTATCCTTAATATGTAAATATGGGGAATGCACTCTCTGCATTTTGACCCATCCCCTTGGCTGCCATTGTGCGGTGCCCTGGGAGCAGAGTGGGGTTAAGGGTCTTGCTCAGGGACCCAGAGTGGAGGGTGTGGGCATTGAATCAGGTGCTTGCAATGTTCTCAGAGCACAAGTGAGCTGCTATAACCCACTAGGCCAACACAGACCAATTTAAGACCAAGCAGGCTTAAAGCAGTCAAGTCGTAACATTATCTTAAATGAACATGTCAGAGCAGCATTCAATCCATCATCAGAAAATGGAAAGAATATGACACAGATCTTTACCTACTAAAATAGGAAGATCCACCTAAACCCCTTTACCACCTCAGACGTTGATAATAAACCTGAATACACTGAGAACAATTAAGGAGTACATGAGAACAAAGAACCCTGAGGACATTCCCCCAATGATATTGCAGTGATAGCTATATGATCTAAACGCTGCGTTTAACGGTATGATAGCGCTAAGGGAATTTTTGGTTACATGTTTATTTAAGAGATATAAGATGAAAAGTAGGCTCTATACTGACAGGCTGGGCAAAGACACCATTTATCAGGGAAACAACAAGGAGAACCTTGGTAACTGTAGAACAGTGATAGAGATTCACTCCTCAGGTGGGAGAATGTGTCTTCAGAACAACTGTTGCTTTCCACTGAGCATATCTGGGCTTTATTAAAGAATGGAGAAGAAAGAAGAAAGGCATTGTTGAAGGAATGCACAAAGCAGCTCTACTCATACTTTGCTATAAGCCGTTTATTGAATGCAGCAAATATGTGGAGGATTGAGCTCTGGGCAAATGACCTAAATGAAACTTTTTCTGACCTGCATGAAAAAAGAACCCCCCCCCCCCCCCCAGCTAATGTTAGTTTCAACCAACCCAAATACATTGAACTGAAATACTTTCAGTTTAGTTTCTTCAAGTGTTGCAACTGTTTTACCTCACATTATATAACGTTATTTTCAACAATAATGTCAGCCGAGTTCTCTTTTACACTGCTTGGCGGCTTTTTGATGTGAGGATTTCTGACCGCTCTAAGCTGTGAATTAAAGTGATAAACCGATTAAATTGAGCTTTAAATGCAGAAAAGACTTTGGAGCTGTGTTAGCTTTTAATTCGAGGCCGGGGGCTTCAGAAGAGTGGTGGTCTTTGATCTTGTGTTTGCCAGAGGTTCCTTGTCTCGCAGGCATGTCTCTGCAGCTGGTTGAAGGGAGAGAAGAATACACAAGGACATTAGGAAGACGAAAAGGTTTTGTTCTCATCCGTTTTTTAAGCCATGGAGCATAACTAGGCTGGGATTTGATGAACTATTAAAATCTGTGCTGGTTTCCTTGTTAGCAAAGCTTATTTCTGCTGTGTTCACTTTGCACTAAAGCCAATTCAGTCTAATCACATGCCCTGCACGTCCAAGTTGGACTGATGGAAACTTGGTTGGAGGATAAATTTGAGGCTCCCCATCACAAGGAAAATAAAAAAAAGTACGTTATGCCTAAATTTTAAGCCACTGTATTTTTCTCTTGGCTATGAACTTTATAGCTCTCTCCTGCCTGCAGTTCATCTAATACCGAATGGTGATTTTCTGCTCCAGTGCATGATGAAATATCCATCTGTAAATAAACGCTCCTTCAGGACAAAGTCAAAAACTAAAGAGGCAAAATTATCCTTTTTTTTCATCCTCAAAGTCCTATGACTTTTACAGTTCAATGAATTGTTAAATGTTGGCGGACTTTTCAGACGGGCAGTATGATGATACTGAACAAGAAAAAGAGATACCAAGCTTTATCCGTGTGTTTTAAATAACTTCCATCATATTATGTTGAATCTCAGTCTTAAAAAATAGATGATTTAGAAATATTTAGGGCTACAAGAGTATAGGATGAAATAATTGTAAAGCTTTTTAGATCCTTTAACCAAGAGGGTCAATAATTGTAAAGGTTTCTAAATACCACCTCGATCCAGAGTTTAAGATTCAGGAAATTATTTTGCATTGTTTGAACTTTGAGTGATGAATTCAGAATTAGTTTTTTTTTTTCCTTCACAGCACAGCCCAAAATAATTTTGAACAAATAAACAAAGAAGTCCCATTTATGAAAGCGTGTTTTTCAGTCTCTGAGTTGCAGCAAATTCCTACAGAAGCTGTCGCTTTGGGACAACACATTGTTTAGCAGGAAAAGCTTCATATCCCCAGTTAATTAGACCTCACAGACACATAGGCGAAACAAAAATGCACTGGAACAGAATTAAATGAGATGCTTACAGGAAAAATAAGAGACTTTTATAATAATAAAAAAACAATGACATTGCATTTTTCTAATAACTGAGCTTGTAGTTCACTTCAGGGATTTTCTTGTGGTGTTGTTCCTTTAACACGATCTCTTTTTTCCGTCAGTCCTGCTGAGGAGCTGAGCTTTGGGTCTGCAGAGAACGAGAAGAAATGCCTCATTATTCTGAGTAACGTCACCAAAAATCAGGTGGCCTTTAAGGTAATTGGGAAATCCTTTCTATTCAGCCTTAAGAGATCATATCACTATGCAGGCTTGGTAATGAATTAAAGTGTTTAATCTAATGAATGGGCCACTGGCCTCTGTGTGTCCAGGTTCGTACTACAGCACCTGAGAAGTACAGAGTAAAGCCCAGCAGCAGTAGCTGTGAACCAGGGGCCTCGGTGGACATAGTGGTGTCCCTACATGGAGGTACGGCACTTAGCACTCTGCACGCTATTCACAGCAGCTGAGCCTCAGAATAATCAAACACGGCACTCACCCTGCAAAAGTGCAGGCAGCCGCTTTTTCTTTACCTGACATGCATATTTCAGGTGAGATAAAAGAATCGCCTGCTCCCAAAACAAACCGTCAGACAGCTGACAAGAGAGTTGAACCAGAGTTCGACCTTCAAACGGTTTGAGGTGTCGATGTGTCGAGCACATCTGAGAAGAATCAGCAAAGCTGGCTTTGGAGTTGCTGTTACCTTGGTTTTTTTCTGCTGTGATATTGAGTTTTTTCAAACTGTCAACCAGTTCTTTTGAACAAAGCTGTGCCTCTTTTAGCAAAAGGTCAAATTATTTTATTGATGCTGATTAATACCACGCTATTTCTTTAATATTCTAGAACAAATTATTAATATCTTCGGATTATTAAAAGTTATATTACTGTAGAAAGAATTGAGGAGGTTTCAGACAACTGCCCAGCACTCAGGAAATTGTTTTGCCATTAAATGATTTTAATGATGGTTTTGTGCAGGTTCTCAGGCCTCCCCTCAAGACAGATTTTTGATCATGGCTGCTGAAATGGAGAATGTCGGATCGCAGGAACTTACTCAGTTCTGGAAAGAAATCCCAAAAAACAAGGTGATGGAACACCGGTGGGTATCAGTTCCTTCATATTAACCCGTTGATAACATACGATGTAGACAAACTGAAGAAAACCTGTCTGTATATGGAATCTATCCCTCTTGCAGATTGCGTTGTCATGTTCTGGATAGTGTTAAACCGGCAGCCAACCCTCGCAGGGACAGCTTGGGGGAGACGTCAACCAGTGGACAGCAGGAGTTGAACTCCGCAGTAAGTTTTAACATCAGGATTTGCTGCCACTTTTTTGCCATCAGGCTCAGCTTAATCAGATTTTTTTTATGCTGTGTTTAAGAGCATTTATTGTAAATCAGGTGTTTAATATGCAGATATAATGTCTGTAGCATCTTCTTAGATGTTAGCATGATTAGTTAAAGTATAAAAGGAGTTTATACTGTATAGTTTCTTACTAGGCTTAAAATCTTATTACAATATTATATCTTACCGAAATGACGATAAAATTGATAATAAAACTTCATTCTTCATTAATTTCTTGAAGTTGTACTTAGGTAACTGTATTGCTGTGACTGCATGCAACAGCAATCATAGCTCGGCATTTACAAACATTAAACTTGAAAATTATACAAATTTGGAAAGGGCTTCTTAAGGAAAACAAGTTGCATCACTAAATATCCCATAGTAGGTTTATTATATCCATTCCACCAGCATATCTTTTATATTTGTACCGCTGATTATAGTAGCAGGAGAAAATCTCTTGCATTACAGGGTGGTCTCTTTATAAATCCACCCAAACATTTTCAGTTCCTCTACTTCTCATTTTAAATCTCCAGTAGCATACAAAGCAAAAGTAATTTATTTGCATACATTATGAAATTTTCTGAATATATATATATATATGGTATACTGCTCTTCTTCAACACCAGATTTATTCTTTTTTTTACCAGCTTATGCGAGTGATGGCCTGCAACTCTAGGCTGGAGCAGAAAATGAACTCCTGTCTGTGGATGCAGAAGGTTCTGACTGGCTTGGTGCTAGTCCTCATAGTGCTGAACCTGCAGTGTCTCTACCTGCTGGGTACAGCTCAGCGGCCGTCTTGACCTACTGCAGCGCCGGAGGAGGTGCTGACACTTCCAGCTGGGCCACAGTTGACCACCTGATGGGACGCGGATCCTCTGTCCCACGCGTCCAGTTTCCTCCGACTGCTGTCCATCAGGGGAGAAGAAGTACTTCCAGGACAAGTCAGTCAATGGGAGCTAAAGAAGAAGGAAATATTATTCTGCCGTTTTCTCAGTTAATGTAACAGAGACAATTGTAGGTTCTTTAATGGCTGATCCTGAAAACATAATTTAAATTAATAACATTTATTAAAATTTGTTGGAAAGATTAGTCATATTAAGCTTTATTTAGGATTTTTTTATATGTATGAATCTACAAAAAATCTATTTAAACCTACACAATATGAAATAAACCCTTTTTATTCATGCTTGTGTTTCTATTCTCATCTACTCTTACTTCAGCCACTAAAGCTGTTCAGTTATGCAAAAATCTTCCCTCTGTTTAATAAAACCTCATTAACATAGCACTTTGTAATTGAAAACATTGCAGCATATGACCTTACTAAACTTCTCCACACTCAGACCCAAAGCCCACAGGAGAACTCCATCTGCACCATCTCATTTTGTTTTAATTACCCCAACACTAAACTCCACTAAAAATACCAAAGCAATTACTGGTGGAGCACAAGGACAAGGCACAACACACTCGTATCTTAGTGGGAAGCCCTGATATCTTAACAGGATCTAGCTCGGAGCAATCGGGGCGCGAGCTGGACTGTGTGAAGTGAACTCGTTATTAGATGTTTGCACACCCAAGAGACGTCTGAAATCAACGGCTGCCGTTTGTTTGCAGTGGGTGGTTGTCACTTAGACTGATTCATGTAATATGAGAAAACTAATCCGGCTTTGATTATAAAAACGGCTCTTTTGGATACCACAGAAAGTCTAATCCTTGAAGATTTTTTAACAGCACACGGAAACAAAGTATTAAGACCTTTATAAATCAGTACACATTTTTTGGGACTTTATTCAATGAACCAGCTTTAAACTATGTAGAATTGGGACGAGTCACACCGAAAAAGATCCAAACTTCAATTCAAATTCAACCTTTATTGGTTACAATCATGGATGTAATGTTGATTTCAGAAGTAGTGGGAGGCTAATTTAAAATATTTAACTAACTTCAGTGTGTTTGACCACCGAATCACAGACCTGATCCAGTGGCACATCAGATGTTTGTAAAGTGAGCTTCTCAGGAATAACAGCGGTGACAGCCAATCACACAAGAAAAAACAATGGGCCAATCAGGAACTTGTGGGCATTCAGCTTGAGCTGCAGTTTTCCGCTTGGTCCTAGTGCTCAACCAAGCGGCAGCAAATCCTGATGTTGAAACTCACTGCAGACTTCAACTCCTGCTGTCCACTGGTTGCCGTCTCCCCCAGGCTGTTCCTGCGAGGGTTTGCTGCTGGTTTAACACTATCCAGAACCTTTGTTACAATAAACGATAAACTAAAAGAACATACTTTTTTCTTTAACCCTCTCAGGCTCAAAATGATGTTGTAGTTGCAGGAAAAATCTGATATTTGGGGAAAATGATCATATGGGGTAGTAATATACAATTTAGACTTTTTTTTTTTTGAGAAAGAGACCTTCACATGCGATGAATTCTAGGATGTTGCAGATTTGCAACAGTGGCCCGGAGTGGTAAATTAACACTGAAGACTGAATCTGATATGAACATTAACTTTATTTGAATGTCACAAAAAAAAAAATTAAAAAAAAAAAATTTGAAAAAAAAAAAAAAAAACATTCACAAAATTAGAGACAACTTTTTCTCAAACTTTTTCTCCACCGACATCTCAAATCCTCTTGAGAAGGCTGTTTCTGTTAAGCTGTTGCTAAAAATATAGGCAAACTAGTAGATAAAGCATGTAGCATCCATTGGTACATGTTTCCACAACATTGAAATCGAGATGCCTCTGCTGAAAAACCCAGAGGAGATAAAATCTACTAATTGGCATGTGTCATATCTATACACATTCATGATTCATCTTATGTAGTATTGATTTTAAAATAATGGAAATTGGTAGTGATACTTACATGAAATTTGTGCTTAGAAAATAGGTTTCAGTGACACCAAGGACTCAGCCATGTTGATAGTGAGTTAACAGTGCTATCTGGTGAGCTGGAGAGAAACTGTTTGTTGCAAATGCACAACTAAGTCCTTCTGTTGTATATCTGAGTAGCCAAAGTTCTTAAAATATGGATGTGGACTAATTAGCTAAGTGGCATTTAGCTGTTGCAAATCTGCAACATCTGCCTGGAGAGGGTTAACTTTCCTTGTTTGTGAAAAAAAGCTCTCAAGGCACATTATCCACACCGTGAAACATCATGTTGTGGGAATGTGTTGTGTAGCAGGGACAGGAAAGCAACCTCAACTAGTACTGAAGTTCACTTTGAAAACAAACAGCCAAAAGTTCAATGGGACGGAATAGATAAAAGGTGTTAAAAATGTATGTTGGTAAAATAAATCCATCTAACCTGAATGAGGTTAAGACATTTTGCAAGAAAAATGAATCAATGGAATCCAAGTTTTTTGGCTGGTAATGACACTGCTTAACAACTTGAAGCTGTAATTGTAAAATACAAAATAGTTCAAGAGTTATTAAAGACTTTGCAAAGCCCTTCTTGCTAATCAGCCGCCTTATTTTCATATTCTTGATCTCTCGCAGCTGTTTGTAGAAGATATAGGATTGTGTGATAAACACGTCCTCTCTAGATTGAAACTTGCACGTTCACATAAAAATTTAGCCTTAATTACTCATGAAAACACCCATTTAGGATTTTTGGTGGATAAAAAGTGCCACAGTATATAAACAAAGAGGAAGGAAAGGAAAGGATGGGGATTAATGGAGTGTGTGCCCCTGGAGAATACTAGTAAAAGCTTTGGTATCACACATACATAAGCTGGTTTTAAGTGCATCTGAGTGCCACGGCGTACCTGGCTAAATGTAGGAAAACATCAGGCATCCTCCATCGGAAATGCAGCTGTGACTGAAGTGGATCGTTCTTTAGATGGCCACGTGATTACAATCCCCTGGCACATTCCTCTCACCAATTTGTCAAGATCCTACTAACTACTGGACAGTGTGTACAATAAGTGTTTCCCTGCAGCTGTAGTAGTCAGATCCTTCTCCACGGAAATTGATTTTTACATTAAACAGCCAGTTAAATCGAAATATGCCTTAGTGTGTTTCTGACTCCTGGGCACTTGTGCAACATTTGAAATCGGACAATGATTTAGTTTGGTTGGCAAATTGGGACAAAAGGATCGATACGGACTTAATGAGTGTTGCATTTAACAAGGGCGAACTGAGTGACTTTAACATCTAAGGCTACCAAAGCAAATGGTAGAGGAGCGTGGTTTGGACACATCTCTTTAAATTCACTGGTTAGATTAATGCTTAAAATACACCTGCTACCAAAATTAATCCTTTTAAATTAAGGCTGTACAAGAAGAGGTAGCAATTTCAGTTTGCCATTACATCTGCATATGGAAGGAAGCCTTCTGGTCACATCAGGCAAAAACTAAACCCTCAATTTACTGTTCTCCGCTAGAACATGATGGTTACAGTGAGGATACTTTTGTTCAGCAGGATAAGGCAATTCTGGAAGATAAAGGTTATACTGGTTGTCTGATGCTCTGAACTACCAAATCAATGTGTTTTTTGAACAATGTGTTTTTTCTCCCAAACTGTTTACATTTGATCACTGCTATACTTTAAGAAATGGAAATGTCATGAAAGTCATGAAAACGAAATGACAATAAAAGCTGTGTAAGTTTTCTAAAAATTAAGGCTCACCCTGCTGTAGGACGACGTCAAATAAGTTAATATGGCCAGATTTACAATGGAATGCTTTTTTTACAGCATGTTCATGTGTTAAAATGTCCCAGTCAAAATCTGTACCTAAATCCAACTTAGAATATGTGGTCAGACTTAAACGATGTATACTGATGCTTTCCCTGAGGTAATCTCAAAGAAGAAATGCAAACCTGAATTTTCAGTCCTTCATTTGAAAAACCAATACCAACACTTTGTAGACTCTGTTGCTACAAATTCTTTTGTTTTATCCTTCTACATTTAGATTTTTCAGATAATCAAAGTCACAGTTAACCTTATTAAATAAAAGAGCTGTTCATCTGGTGCTTTTATTTATCAAGGCAGAAAAGCTATCCAATCAAACGTAGACCTTTGTGAAAAACTTGTATTTGTTGCTTTCCTCAAAAAGTCCAGTTTGCCTTTCAAATCTTGAGTTTAATATTACCAACTTTTGCCCCGACTTTCTCCTTTGGGAATTTATTTTTTTAATTTTTTTATTTTGCATAAGTTGTGCTTATATGAATTACACAAAGTAACAGAAAGCAGACCATAATACTGCCACCACCATGTTTGATTGTCTATAAGGTTCTCCTTTCTGAGATGCTGTGTTATTATAACAGGAAAGGTTTGGCCTTTGTGTTCCATTTGGTCGGCTCAATAATTGTAAATGGTTTCAAACTCTAAAAGCTGCAATTTCTGCACAACCTTATCATTCAGCTGTAAACACTGAATCCTCTGTGAACTCATGGATATCATTCACTTTTTTTTATCATTAGTTGTTAAGGGAAGATGTGTTGCTTTTTGTAAATAATACCTACTTCACACTTTAAATGAGGTTTTATTTAGGAGGTTCATGATTCAACAGATCTAATTGTAATCAGGCTTGGGTGTCAAGAATTAAACTGAACTGAGCTTCCAAAAAATATGATTAATTACTGTTAATTCATGACTTAACAGCAGAAAGATAGGGGTTACGTTTTCTCATAGGACTGAGTTGTTTTGGACAGATTTTTCTATATAATAAAATCTTCATTCGAAAACTTTTTGTCTGATAAGTGCACCAGAAAGATAAGAATACCAGACACTTGTTCATTAACTTGTATAATATATTTTTTCTTGATAATCATATCCTTACTCAGCTAAATATATTCCAGTGAAAGGCTGTAGCATGGCAAAATGTGAAAAAGTTCAGGAAGTACCAAAGTTTATTCTGGTGCTAACATTTGCAGTATTGCAAATTGCTTTTCTTTTTCTTGCAATCATTTCCTAACTTGTTTTCAAATATCAGTCCCCATGGTATTATGACATGCACTCTGATCATAAGTCAGTGTTTTTGAGCTCAGACGCTGCTTAAAGGAGGCTTCTTCAAATAAAACTAATCTATTGCTATTTTCTCTTATATAAAATGCCTTTCAGTAAAAAAAAAATAGGTGATTTCACTGAGATTAAAAACAGATATCAGTGTAAAAAAATGCCTTTCAGTAAAAAAATAGGTGATTTCACTGAGATAAAAAACAGATATCGGTGTAAAAAAATGTAAGATAGAAACGTCTAATAATGTAAAAGAGCATTGTCTATTATTAAAATTTAAATGTCTGAAACAAAGCTTGGCATTTAAACAGCTGAAGGAAGGAATGTCATTTTAGGATTTATTGGTTGTGCTTTTAAAACAATATTCAAAAAGATACGAAGGTCTGAGGAGTCTCAGTTGCTGTTCCTGGAGCAGCTCTGAAAGAAATCCCAGACTGAGGCACTTCAATAGTCTTCCTAGCTCTATTCTCCAGAGGATGCATCAGGAATTCCAGGATCTAACTGAAAGCTTTACATAACTATTTTTAAAGATTTGAAAACTGCCTTGCTTCCTGTGGACTTTTAATGCTAGGACAAAATGTACTGCCAGTGAATGGTCAATGCAATAGTCTGCATACAGTTTTCAGTTTACTATCTGATGGAAAATTAAAAGCCGACTAGAAGAAAAAGAGCTAAAGACCATATACCAGTGTATGTGTTTTATTTATTGCAAAACATTGTAAAGAACAAGTCTATGCAGAATGTAGCCATGATAATTAATAAGAAGCTAATCGATCTGTGAAGCCCTTCAGGTCTTAGCATTGTCTACTACGCTTTTGGAAATTAGGAAATAAAGAGGCCAAAATGTTAAATCCACCAAAATAATTCAGGTAAAGCAACTTTTGCAAATTAAAATCTTTATCCTGAATATTAAAAGCTGTGTTTGCTTTAGAATAAACAATACAAATATATATTTTCTTTTATTCTGTATGCTACCACTGTCTTTTTTTTCCTAGTGCTTAATTATGTCTTTTTTTGTGTGTGTACATCAACACTGTTATTCAATGTGTGCACTTTATCAGTCATATAGCAAAGGTCTGTCGAATTACAAAACATGGGGTATTTATCAGCACCAGACAAAGATAAAAGAAAAAGAGAAATAGAAAATATATTAGAAATTAAAAATATATTTCAAGAACTCGTTTCAAACCAGTAATTCCTATAGATGAAAAATGTTAGCTTATAAATACATTTCAATCAATGAAGCAGACAATAAAATATAAGAACTGTTGTTTGAATGATTTCATAAGGTGCAGTTTTTTTTATTTTCATTCAGAAGAATCAATAAATTGGTGAAACATTTTCCTTTTAACGACGTTGTACAAAATCCAGCTTTTAATTACATCCTTAAAAAGAAAATATGAATGATGATCCAAGTGCTTTACTAAAAGATAATATGCTATGTTACGTGCTTTAGATTGTATTGTTTTCAAATGGAATGCTTTTTGCAATGAATATTATATAACAGTGTCTTTCGGCAATGCTTTAAAGTTTCTTTGTGATCATAATAAATTAGCTCTCACTGATCTCCAGGCTCTCCTTATAGTCTGTTTCAGAAGGACATTGTCCTGCCAGGTTGTCCAAGTTCTCCCCCTGCTGGCCAGAATGTTCAAAGCTCAGAGTGTGGGGTTGTTTGCTGGAAGTGATTTGGGTGCTTTGCTCTGATTGGTAGAGAAGATACTGTAGCAGCTTTTTGGGGAGGTGAAGGTCAGGAATCCCACCCAGTCTCCGCTTTCCCACAGTTTTCCTGATGTGTAGCCGGCACAGCTGCTTTAGAGAAGGTATTCCTGGGTCGTTAGAGAGATGGTTTGATTATCTGCTTACAGCACTTCAGACATCAACCCATCTCTGTCAGCTTACTCTGTAACTAAATACCTCCTGCTTCTCTCAGCAGTCGCCCCACTAGGCTGTCAGGAGGAGTAAGGTCCAAAGGCCGCTTGCCCTCTGAGTTCACCAGGAGATGGTCGGCTCCATGATCGAGCAGGGCAGAAACCAACTCAGGACTGGAAAGACGAGCAGCAATGTGTAGGGGAGAGTCACCAGAAAGGCTCCTGTTAACATCAGCACCTGAAATCAGGAGGAGGTTGAAATATTTTATCATAATCCATTCTAGCATAGCAGCTTTAACATCATATTTGCTATTTCCTCTACAAAGTATGAAATGATGTGCAAAAGAAATGCCGTAAATGTCGGTAAGCAGAAACAGCAGTTGCTTATGGGCCTACGACCTTTTAGGGGCCCCATCACTGACACCCGGTAGGTCCCCAACACAATTCTAGACTAAAAGATCTCTTTGCAGGAGTAATGGTGCGAAAAAATCCTTTTAAACCCACCTGATACCAAAGTAACCAACCACAGCAGACCGTATTTATACTAAAACACATGCCAGATTTCAACAGGATGGTGAGCCGTTTAAACACAAGACCAATAGCATAGCAGACAGTGGCCCTTTTAATTACTATGTTAAGAACTGTGTATAGTTTAAAAGACGGGTGGTTGGTAAAAAATACACTATATATAATATGTTTCAAACCGCAATAAATCGCCATATCCTGAACTCTTACCACGTGTTGTACTTCATATGGGGCCCACCCAGATAATGTTGCTTACGGGCTGATTGTTGCGTTGTTACGCCATTGTGGAAAAGCAATTTCTTTTAGTTTTTCTACAACACAGGCTCATTTTCACCACTCTTCCAAATAGGTCTGATCTTTTTTTAAATGCACGATTAAACGTTGTTCAGTCGACAGATTATTCCACATGAGCTGTGGGTTCCAGCAGCTTTTCCAGAGTTACTTGGCTGCTTGTATAATAAATGCTCCTTTTGGTTGATTGGTCAGTTTATGTGGATAGCCATGTCTCGCAGTTGTCCAGATGCTGAAATTGAACATGGCTTTGTTGTGAGGCGTTTGTAGTGTGGGATTCTTCTCCACAGCATCCTTCCTGACCTGTCTGAAGGCTTTTTTGGTCTTTTTACTACCCAGACTATTTGTCCACATCTATTCTATGAGGCCTTCACTAAACAGATGGATTCAATAACAAAGAAATGATTTTCTAAAGCTAATCATTGTATTAAAGGGGGGTAAAATTTCCATCATGGGGATTACAATACAGAAGGTTCGATATGAATATTCCCCTATAAGACTTTGATAACAAAAAAAAACAACAACAAAAAAACAGATTGATGCATCTTTAACTAAGGGAAAGCTAAGCTTAGTTCAATTTTAGATGTCTGTTGGAAATTAAGTGGGTTATTTCATAGTTTTCAGAGGTAGATCAGCGCCATTTCAAAAACCATTTTTATTATAATGTGGCAGAATAGTTTCTGCATCATTGCAAGAGCTTAAAATCAATGTTTTTTTTTTTAACGATGGTAAAATATGACTCTAGACCCCTGCTTACCGAGCTGAAGAAGCTTCTTCACAGAGCCCAGTTGATGATTGGAGCAGGCAGCATGCAGAGGAGAGCCTAAGGTATCTATATGCTGATCCACATCTGCACTGTGCTGAACAAGCATTTCAATGCATTCGGGGTGACCTGGGGAGTCATAGAAATTAAAACCGATTCACATAAAAGGAACACAGTAAAACTGCTGTTTAAATTTTTCCAACTACAAAAACTTCTCTCTGTCTTCCTTTATGGGATTTCTGTTAACACTTACTAAACTCAGCAGAGATGATGCATGCTCCTGCTGTGGAATGTGACCTCTAACCCTTGGCTGCAGCCAAGTGGATTGGAGAACTGGAAGGGCTGGTGCCCAGGGGTGTCGCTCCATGTTGAAGAAGCAGAGATGCACAGGTCACATGGCCCCCGGCACACGCATCTGCTAAGGCAGTGTGTCCATCCACCGTTGTGCTGTTAACCTGCAGTTGGAAAAACAGTAAAGCATCAACCATTGACCTTTCGAAAAACAGTTATATCACAAATCTGGCATTCTGTTGGTTAAGAAATATAGTTTTAGTTTATTTGATTTATTTCTCACTGATTTCATTTTTTTCTTAGGTTAAACCCTGCAATGATTAAATATCTAAAACTTAAAGTGTCACTGAAGGAAATCTGAAAAGAAAATTTTGATTTAACAGTACCATTTTGTTTACTTCTCTCAGATATGGATAACTTACATTTGCTCCGTTTTCCACCAGAAGCTTGGCACAGTTTGTGTTGCCTTGCAGACATGCTCCATGAAGGGGTGAGACTCGGTCCAGTGTACTTAGATTCACGCAGATTCCCTGTGAAAACACCACGATGCATGAATTCATTCAGATTTCATGTTCATGCACCACGATGCATGAATTCCATTAAAAAACAGTGGAAGCATGAAATACATTAACATTTGGACATATTGAATCCATAAATGACAATAGATTTTTTCTGGAATGTTTCCTGATAGAATAACACAAAGTGTTGCATTATTGCAAAGCTGAAAAAAAAATTATGAGACACAAATCTATATGTAACTTCTTTACTCTTTCCAGTGCAACACAAGAAGCCCATGCATTTCTATTCATATGCTCACCAACCAAAAACACATACACCCATGCACCAACACAGAGAAACAAGAAAAAGGTTACTTTAATGTGGAAGTTGAAGCTTATTTTCAGATATACTTTTTGTGGAGAAAACCACTCTAGAAACCAGCTACTGTTTGTCAGTGGATGCACAATGTTTTTTTTTAATCCAGCTGTTCTGTGAAGGCTTCAGAGGTTTGTTTCTGAAAGAATCTTGAAGATAAAGGAAAAGCCGTGATGAAAGAAAACTACAACAGATGTTGTTTGAAGTCTGCAACAAGTAATGAAGATTTACAGCAATTATGTTCCAGAAGGTGCATTCAAGACCAAAACTGAACTTTTTTGACCTACTTGGAAAAACTATGTTTGGAGGAAAACCTCAGGGCACATTATTCTGATCGACAATCCTAACAGTGAAATGATCCTGCCATCCAGCATGTTTTCATCAGCAGGAACAGTGGATCTGTTCAGCCTTGTTGGAAAGTTGGGAGGAGCCGCATACAGGACAGTTATGGAATAAAACTTGTTAGAGACCAAAAATCCAATCGCTGGCTAAACATTGATTTTCACACACCTTCATCACCCAGTGTGTCAGAGCTGGAGCTATTTCACACCACAAACGATGTGTCATCCTGCAGATGTGCAAAAGCTAGTAGAGACTTGTCCCAAAAGACATGCAGCAAATGTAATTGCAGAAAAATATGCCTTTTTTTCAGGTATTGACTTAGAGAAGTAGCGTGAAAAATAAACAAAACACTTTCTTCTTTTGGGAAAGATGCTAAAAACCATCTTAGCACCAGTTTGTGTCAGAAAAACTACCAGTGAAACATGTAACTCCTCTTAGTAATATAAAAAAATGTGGAAAAAGAGTCATTGGGTATGAATATTTGCAAGACACCTTACGGAACAAAAACAATAAATGTCTGATTTACTTCACTACAAGATGGTGTGTCTCTTCGACTTATGTGAGTTTTCAGGAAGCAGTAGTTCATTTGTATTTTAATGTTTTACCTCCAAAACGGGTTAAACTTTACCTGAGCGATGAGCCTTTGCAGACTGAGAACACGTCCATTGAATGCAGCATCGTGAATAGGAGACCAGTCTGATTCGACATCTTTATGTGGAAAGTAAAAGAGATGTTCGAACCTTTAAATGTTATGCATTAGCACTGAAATACCATGTTTAAAATCTTAAACTTACCACTCATCAAAGGGTTGGAGAAATAGACAGGAGGTTCTGCTGGGCATGCTGTGTCTGACTGTGTCTCTTGGCTTCCAGTAGACATATTTCTCCGATTTGAACCTCCTGGCTGCCCCCGTGTCAAAATAGAACGAGTTTTGTCGTCTATTGAGAGCAGTTCCTGTTGATATCATGCTATTACCTCCCTGCAGGAAGGGGACAGTCTGACTGTAATGACTCAGATCCGGCCAATGAGGGTAGAGTTAGAAGAGGGGAAGCCAGTTAAACAAGTTAGTAATATTTGGGTGAAATTTGAGACTGCAATTTCACATTCTTCTTCTGTGGGAAATGACTTGACTTTTGTCCTCTATAGTGCCTGACCTGACATTTTGACTTTTGGTCATTTTAGGTGAGTAAAAATGTTAAACTGCAGTGTTAACTGGTATAAAACAGCTTAGCTATGACTTTTTTTGTTTGTTTTGCTTTTTTTGCTTTAGTTGTTAAAGAAATAAGATTATATGACCCTGCACTGCTTTTTCTTTCATTAATGGTTTGTTTTTAGTAGCTACAGCAAAAAACAGTCCATTACAAGATAACAAAATCTAACAAGTGTGAAGAGGGAAGTACATCTAGTTCATTGGATGAAACATTATACCAAGCAATGAATTCTCCACAATAACATGAAAAAGTTTAGAAAAAAAGAAAATAGGATTACTTATGATTTAAAAAACTAGTAAAATATGACCAACATGACACTGTAATGTGCTAAAAGCCCATTAGGAGCTGCATAAAACATCTAAACTATATTTGAGTGCAATAGTTCTGCTCTGTTGGAAGGACTTACTGCAGGCACTCTAACCAATATGATTAGAGTAGCCATTGTTTAATACAACAACAAATCAATAAACACCAATAATAAACACAAATCGATAAAAAAAAACATTCCAGTTTAAAGTTCAGGTGAACATCTGGGTACTTATTTCTGTGTGGTGGGTCTGCACTGTTACTTTTATCCTAACATTATCATTGCAATATTTACCAATAAAATGGAAATCATATTTTAATAATGTGGCACAGCAAAAATGTTTACCTCTTAGACGAAAAAGGTTTCTCTGTTTAGTCAGCTTCCAACGATTCCGATGGAAGCTGACTTCTTGTTTTATTTTTTATTTGGGTGGATTTTCTTTTAATTTTAAATCTTCACAGTAATATTTTCTTTCTTTCTT